CCCCCCGCCAGATAATATATCACCTTTGAGGTTCAGTAAGAGATGCCAGGAACTTCAAATGCTGAATCTTAAAGTTATTGAAAGGCCATTTACTTTTAGGGAGACTTTAATAAGAAGCCAGCTAAATGGGTCCTTTTAAGGTTTGGGAGTGAATACCTATTTGAATGTTTTCCTGTGGTTTACAGTTAGACTGTATGGCATTTAATTGATTAGGGGTTTTTTTTGGTAAGATGAATATCAGTGTAAGGTGATGTTAGCAGCCCTTAAAGCCCAGGCTCTAATCTGGTCTGTGCATAATGTGAATTAAAATCAAATTAAAATGTAAATACACCTATGTCAGGATTATTCTAGAAAACATCTAGAATGGGATGTTGCAGTATTTGTCAGAGCCCCTTGTAAATCCCCTTGTCTTGAAGGAATTGAGAAGGGTTAGCAAGCATCCTGGCACGTGGAATAAACTCCTGATTGAGTCTGAAGTTTCTCTCTCTGCTTTCCATGCTCTACCCACTGCAATGGGTATTAGTCATACAGAGATGCATTTTTTCACATTAAGCTATTTATGAAACCGGTCTGCTAAATAAAAATTTAGAAGCAAAAACAAGAAAATAAGAATAAGAAATAAGCCATCAGTGTCACCATTTTTGAAGTAAATTATTCTATCGAACATTTAGAATTTGGTGTCAGTGTCATCTGCATCTTCCTCTGGTTTCCACCTCAGTGGGATGAATCCTAGCTCTGCTTGGGCTGCCCTGCTTTCCTCTTAATTGCAGTTTCACTAGGTCTCCTCAGCAGCAGCCCCTGAAATAACTGCTGAGGGAGCTCCTAAGTGAATTCTCATAATTTGCTTCTCAATTCTCCCCGTTTGATTGAAGCACTCTCTTTCTTGAGTGGTTTGCAGTTCCCCTTAAGTGGTTACTGTTTGGGGTCACTGTTGAATGTTTTGTTTGAATATCACTTTCACGATGAATGGAAGGCTGCTGCTTTTGGCTCTATGGGGTGATACCACCATTGGTGGTAAGCCTTGGAAGAGAAAAATCTTTCTTTGTAGTGAGATGCTAAGTGAAATTACTCTCTTTGTCACTTTGTCCTTTTATCCTCTCAGTCTGATAACCTTCAAGTTCTTGTAATTTATTTTGTTTTCTTCAATTAAGCTTAGTTGTTTCCTGTACCCAGGTGCATGCTATTTCCGTTGGTCGTCATGGTGATGTGGAACATATTTCTGACCTGGAAGTGAGGTTTCTTTACCTCTGCTCCACATCAGTATGCCTTCCAGCCTCCACTTCCTTTGCATTATTTCCTTTTGGAGGGCTCAGTTTGTTACCACTTAATCTAAGGATGATTCATCTGGGACTGAGACCCAGTAATGCTGTAATAACAATACCTTGCTTTATATAATAATACTCAAAGCACTTACCATCTTAGCCTTTCTCTGTTTATGAAGCTCTTTCAGTTTAATCCTTCACAATAACCCTGTGGGTCAAGTCAGCAATCGTGTATGTGTCTAAGATGGTGAAATAGTATCTCATAGAAGTTGAATAACTTGTTCAGGGTTGCTGAGTTACTCTGTGCTTCTGACTTACTCTGCTCAACAGTTTTTACAGTAAATGAAGAATACTTTTGAAGGTATTCTTAATGAACAAAAAGGAATTTCCAAACTCTGTCCCATTTATTAAAATCTAACGCTTTTTAGTCTAGTCGGTCAGTAAGACCAAAGTTAAGAACCCATTAACCAGTGTTTAAATTGACTTATGTGCAAATCAAGAAAATAAACATTTAGGTCCATTTCTATTCTGCTGCTGATGTGATAAATTTAAGGAAGGCTGGCTTATATTAATGGAACTTCAACTGGAAGTAATTAAGCCATTATAATTATTTTCTTATTGTCTCTTCCTTTCAGAGAGATGGAAACCTTGATGACGAGCTCTACCCTGCCACCCCTTTTTGCAGAGGAAGATGGCTCCAAGGAGAGTAATGATCTGGCCACAACTGGGTAAGCAGCTGCTCTGGGACACTGGGCCTCCACCAAGCTTTAAAACAAAGCTTCTGATAATGGATGAGGTGCTAAAGAGACTGTTTTATATCCTAAAACCAGAAGTTATGTTTGTTAGGCTTCACAAAAGAGAGAGCGAGAGCCATTGTAAGCTGCTTTGTGATCTGCATTCAGCTGTCATTTGCCGTGTTCTGGTGCCTGTGAACTGGCACAGCAATATGTGGATCTAGGAAACATCAGTTCCTCCTGATTAAGAGAATTACATAGCTACCATTAAGTAAATAACCTGCCACAGGGCTAGCTCTAAAAATCAAGTTCATTTTCTGTTTGAATTGCCACAGATATGAAAATAATTTTTCCCCCAGAGGTCTGATTTTTTTTTTTTTT